GTGCTGCGCACACACCGGCACACGCGTACACAAGGAACTAATCGCATTTTGCCACAACCCAGCAGAGAAGCCTGGGGCAAGGGGAAGGGAGAGAGAAAGCGCTTCCACTAGGCATGGGCACGGAACCCACCTATGATTCTGTACAACAAGCAGAAGGAAGAGAGGACCAGAATAAGACTGGGCAATTGCCTGGGTAAGATGACTTGGCGCGCGGGAATTTTGTGTGGAAATCTGCAGACGAGTCTTTTTTAATGCAGACATGAACCAAGAGCACCTCAAATATGGTCATTTTGTTCATCCAGGAAAAAAGAGTCCTATGGGGGTACTACTGCCGTACATGGAAAAGGGCGCTGGGGATCGGAAATGGAAAAGAAAATCGTCCACTTAATACGCCCGGCAAGGAAAACTGACGAAAGCACTGTTCTTTTATGGTGCTAAATGCAAACAATTTGCGGGTGATTACTACAGGCATAGTATTCTAGCAATACAAGGTTGGTAAGACACCAATTTCGCCTCCATTTTTCGAGGATAACCAGTTTCGTGCTAAGTATATAAATAAATAGCTGATGGGTTTCAGGAAGAATTAACATAACAACACTAGCCCACTCCCTCGCTTTGAGTCGCCCAAAATTTAGGCACTAAGTAGCTTGAACGAACAAATTGTTGTGAAAATGCCCTAATACCATGCCTGGAAAGGCCAGCAGTCAACCGGGTAAGAAAAAATGTTCGAAAGCAATACCTTGTAGATATGCCAAAGTAGTGGTTTTGATTGCATTGAGTTTTGTACAATCCTACAACATCTATGAGGCTGGGCATAAGCATGACTTCAACCCGCCTTTCTACAGGTCTGTTAGTTATGGTGCCCGAGCCCACCTCTGATCTTCTTGACTGTCTTGATGAGAGAAGTGAGTCCGGCAGATGCGTCGAAAGTCTGTAATCACTATGTCATTGTCCCTGCGCACATCCTACTGGACAATACACGGGACAACGTGGTCCGCGATAGTCGAACTGTCATAGTGCGCGTAAATATATCGGATTTTGTTCATTAGGGTTTCTATGTACACAATACGGGCGTCGCCCGACAGGTTGAACTACCACGTCCGAGGGAAAGGCTATACCAGACAGGCTTTCACAGTCAAGACAAGTGTGTTACCGCTCCTATTGAGAACTGGAGCAAACAGAGGCCAGCGACCCTGACACCGTTTCATTGGGAATTTCAATTCTGGTAAGCGTAAGTTTGATTTACGAAAGGCGTAAAAGACAGTAATCGAATTGGGGTATTTGGCAAGTTCCCGAATTTCTTGACTTTGGGTAATCCTGTGAAATAGGAGACTTCTCAAAGAAACCAAAGCAGCAGCAGCAGCAGCTTATTTATGATAACCAACGTGACTGCTTGAACGATTTGAAAAATATGCCAGGAAATGGCATTCGTCGCCAGTTTGCAGACCTATCGCAAACGTCCTGTGAGGTACTACTCGCACTGTCGTCCGACGGGCTGGACAACACACCGGTGCCTTGGTTTTGAAGAGTGCCTTTTATTTATCACGACTGTGAATATGGCTTATGCAGATGTTAGATGAATGAGGATGATATTACTGGTCAAATTACATCACAGTCCTAAGGTGTAAGA